AAATCAAAGAAAATTGTAACGAAAAAGGTGAAGATAACGAACCCTGATCGATCTCAAAAAATCTACAAACAATAAAAATCTTTCAACAGGGGAAAAACATGACCCCAGGAAATTCCAGAGGTGGGATCAGGCGCCTAAGATGAGAAAACATCGCCTTTCGACCGGTCAAACCCGCCGTGAGACCTTTGTATTGATCAGGTAGACGGAATATTTCGTAGTCAAATTTAGTACAAAAACAAGACCTTACTATTGATATGACACACGTCAGCCAAAGTACGACTCATTGATAGAATATATTTGATTCGATACGCAAGAGCATGTTCTACGTATGAACAATTTCTAAAACGAGGTAAGTTATTGACAAACAAGTTGATGAAACAAGAATATCAACAGTCTCGTTTAAAGTCATCATTTCGTAAGTTCTATGGTCGATACAATGACCTTGTCAGCAAATACAATCTTTCTTTAAGTCCTATGCTGACTGACGTTTGTCATACTAATTGGTAAGCCACTGAATTGTCGATGGATTTTCCGTTATTTCCCGATCATGACAAGGAGCACACGGCGGGTGTGACCGGTCGGCAGGAAATGCTCACTCCTCCATGGCACCTGATTCCATCTCTGATGTTTTTGGAGGTTCGTGTTTGCTCTGCTCCTGATTTGTATTGTTTTAATGGACTTTGAGCTTGAATACTGTTCGTCATCTCCATATTTTATTGCTGACAATGTCATTTTAACGACCAAAGAATTTACGAAATACTGATTTTAAGCGAGTTGGTTGACGTCAATACGATAAACTCATCTGTCAGTAGCCTGCCTCGGTTTAAAAATTGATCATACTTACAACATGCTCTTGAGTATCGATTAAGCTGGGAGACGTGAATACTATGTGCAGGTTTTACTGAAATATTACTACATAAAAAAGGAAAGTTGAGATGGAAAAGCTGAAGTCATGTCGTTTGTCATACAATTTAGTTGTTAGCTGGCCCTTATCGTCTATAGTCATTCAAACAATCAAATATGAAACAGATGTGGCAGACTCTATTGTGGCTTGTATTTCGAGATTACTGGGATATATCGAGTCGACATATAAATGGAAGAAACTATTGTTAATTGATAAACGTCATAAAGATATCTGAATGTCGAGTTGAAGGCCACAGCAAATGTTTTCTCATTCTCATGTAGAAGTTTTTGAATAAATTTTGCTTCATAGGAATATAAAAAGAGGTCGGCTAATAAAGGGGCACAATTAGTGCCCATAAAAAAATTCCAACAGTTTGTAGGAAGACCTGAAGACCTGGTCTCCAAAGACTACATAGATGTTGAGGAACTCCAGCGTCCTTTTAATAACAACTTCAGTGTACTTGTTTGTAGAATCAGCGTGATTTTTAACAAAGTAATTTTGTTGATAACCAATCACAAGTTATGAAAATTTCCGAGTTCCATTGTAGTTGTCTTTGAAATCAAAAAGCCAAGTTTTGAATTTATGGTTAGGAAGTGTAGAAAAGTCGTACGTTTTGATGTTACTGACTTTTAAAAAATTTGGTGATTTTAAATTTTCTAGAAGTTTTTTGCAGGTTTTGGCAATCCACATCTGATTTACACTATTTCTAGAATCTGCTGTAGCACCGTGCGTCTGCTTTACTGCAGTATATATTTTTGTAGGGAAGTAAAGATGGGAGATTGATAGGGCAAGTGCTGGGCCCAGTAATGTATCTTTGTAATTAAGTATGAAAATAACGAACAGTGATCAAGCTCAAAAATCCAATGATATAATACAAATCGGGGAGCAGACCAAGCACGAACCTTTAAAAAAAGCCAGCAGAGGTGGGATCAGTTGCCTTGGAGGAGTAAGCATCCTCTGTCGACTGGTCACACCCGCCGTGTGCTCCTTGTCCTGATCGGACAAACGAAAAATCCGTAGACATTTCAGTATTTGAATAATGGCCAATCAATCTGAAAAACGTCAGTTAGCATTCGACTTAATGAAAGAATATATTTACTGTAAAGGTCACTGACTCGACCATGTTAGTTGTTTTGTTGTGAGGTTACCATTAGCGTCTTTTCAGTAAAAATATTGAAATATGAAAGAGATGTGTCGGACTGTGTCAAAAGTTATCAGTAATGCTAAATGTTTTGAAAATTAAGTCAAATTTTAAGGTCAAGGTCATGGGGTTAAAAATCATATTACATTTGGAAATGCTTGTTACAAGTAATGCACGTGACGAATATGAATGTCCTGTCTTCGATCCTTCAAAAGTTAACAACACTGATAAAATGTTTGAAAATTAGGTCAAACTTGAAGATCAAGGTCACGGGATCAAATTTGATAGCACATTTGGAAACATTTTAATAAGGATAATGCACTTGTCAAATATGAACGCCCCATCATATCTCATTCAAAGTAATCACCAAAGTTGAATGTTTGAAAATTAGGTCAAACATGAAGGTCAAGGGGTCAACAAATCATAGCATGCTCGGAAACGTCTTGTCACACCTACATATAATGCACATGTCAAATATGAAAGCCCTATCTTTTCTCAATTAAAGGTTATAAGGAAAGAAAAAATTGTTGAAAAGTAGGTCAAACTTCAAGGTCAAGGTCACAAGGTCAAAAAAATCATAGTATATCTGGAAAGGCTTTGCCACAGGTAATATACGTGTTTAATATGAAAGCGTAATCTTTTCTCATTCAAAAGTTTTGACCAATTTAAAGTAATGTTAAAATTTTTGAAAAGTAGTCAAACTTCAAAGTCATGGAATCAAAATCATAGCATATTTTAAAGGCCTTGTCACGGGTAATGTACATGTGAAATATGAAAGCCCTATCTCTTCTCATTCAAAAGTTATGACCAAGGTTGTTTTTATGACAGTCAGACTGACAGAAGGACACACTGACAGACAGACAGACAGACGAGTGAGATTTAATACCCCTCGCTTTCGCGAATACGGGGGACAATAAATTTACGAGTTCCATTTTTATTGAAGAAAAAGGTGTCTTTAGGGTCAAAAAGCCTGGACTTAAATTTATCGTGGGGAATGGCTGTATAGAGTGTTGAAAAGTCGTACGTTCTAATGTGATTAATTTTGGTAAAATTTTATGATTTCAAATTTTCTAAAAGCTCCTTAGAGAATCTCCTTAGAATTTTTAAGTATCCATGTCTTACACACTGAATTGTCGATGGATTTTTCCGTTATTTCCCGATCATGACGAGGAGCACACGGCAGGTGTGACCGGTCGGCAGGGGATGCTCACTCCTCCATGGCACCTGATCCCACCTCTGATGTTTTGGAGGTCCGTGTTTGCTCTGCACCTATTTTGTAATGTTTAATCGACTTTTGAGCCTGAATACTGTTCGTTATCTCCATATATTTCTTCCATATCTGATTTACACCACTTCTCGAATACAGTTTTGTACAGTACTCCTAAATTTTCTCCTTGGTATCTTAGTTTTTATGGATTTTCACGTAGTTTAGGGATCCAGTATAAGTATGGTAATTTAAAATCAATTTAATTATTGGGAATATCAGAATTATTTAAAACTGACATATGATTTTGAAAAATTTCCTTCTTAGAAAGGGAGATATGGATGTAAGTTGGATTATCACTTGCAGAATTTAAAATTAAAATTCCAGCTCTGCTAAATTACAATTAAAATAATGAGCTTGATAAAGACTATGTTGTACCTGCTTTGTCAGCTGGGACCAGTACATATTGATCGTGTAATGTAATTATTTTTCTTCACTCTGAATAATTGTAGACAGAAGGATAGGATGGTTTTCATGTTACCCACCAATTGCACAATGCGGGATTTCAACATCCATCTGATACTTTTAATCCATTCTGACAAAGTATCTAGGTCTTCTTTTTTCATGCCTGCCGTAATCTTCCACAGAATTCATAATATTTATGAAATTATCATGCCTGTTGAAAGATTGGGATCCCTAAAATTTGACCCTTTTAAAATATGTGATTTAAGGTTCTCATTATTAACTATATTTACGTCACCAGAAATGACGCTTCCGGCAAGACTATAAATAAAGAGTGAAGAAGAATATGAACACGTTGTAAGGATTTTTATGATCTTCAAAAACTGCAATATGCCTTTAATTGATGAGTTGTCAGTGTAAGGTTTTCAGGGAGAAATGCCAAAGTAGACCTGCTACTGAAGCTACAGATTCTATGTAAATAGACCTGCTACTGAAGCTACAGATTCTATGTAAATAGACCTGCTACTGAAGCTACAGATTCTATGTAAATAGACCTGCTACTGAAGCTACAGATTCTATGTAAATAGACCTGCTACTGAAGCTACAGATTCTATGAAATTAGAAACAAACTGTTGGCACAACTCTCATTCCATGAACTTTATCTAATCAAATGTATGATCATTGCCCTTATAAAAGAAGTTTGTGTGATAAATAAAAGGAAAGAAAAATGCATTTGTCGAGAAAAACAATTTACACAAATTAAATTCCAAATCTGTAAATTTACAGTCCATACCTTTTTTTCTTGTAGAAATGGATTTAGGTCTGTTATAACTGTGTTATGTATACTCATATTTCTTGAATAGTATTATTCCTTACCATTTTATTCCATTCAAATTGTGTATGATTCATACAGTTATCTCTAGAAATTGTGTACCAACGACAGAATAGCAGCTCACCATTCTTCCTGTCAGTGTAACAATGTTTAAGTCCTGATCATATTTAACTGAGAATGTAAATTCAGTGTAACAATGTTTAAGTCCTGATAATATTTAACTGAGAATGTAAATTCAGTGTAACAATGTTTAAGTCCTGATCATATTTAACTGAGAATGTAAATTCAGTGTAACAATGTTTAAGTCCTGATAATATTTAACTGAGAATGTAAATTCAGTGTAACAATGTTTAAGTCCTAATCATATTTTACTGAGAATGTAAATTCAGTGTAACAATGTTTAAGTCCTGATAATATTTAACTGAGAATGTAAATTACTATCAATCACTGTCCCACTTATAAAAAGATTCCCTACAACGAAGTTACGTGTAAAGACAAACAAATGCGCAAGGTAAATCAAAACAAATCCTATTTCAAACTCTGCAAATAAATAACAAAAATATGAAGATAAAAAAAAACTTGATATGTTATTATCTACATGGGCCTTGCCTTGCAAAACTCATGAAGATTCACAAAAAATATAAATATACATTGTTCTTTTTCCTTTGACCAAGATGCATTCTTTCGGTCTTGATCAATAATCCGTGCTTCACTAAACATTGTAGTTTCAAATGAGTGGTAGAATTAAAATCAACAAAAAAATCCAGTTTTTAGCCTTCAAAGCTTTAGATCTCGAAGATCAAATACGAGTGTAGCTGCAAAATACAATGTCTATTCTCAAGAAAAAAACGTCCAAAAATTTGCAAATTCAATTTTCTGGCGGGTTTCTTTGGAGTTATGGGCCCTGACTATGAGCAGATCTTTACAACATAAAGACATACTCATTTCAAATTAACGAGTCACGTGGAAAAATACATGTATACGTACATATATTACATGCTTGACTCGACAATTGAATGATGTTCAACGACAGCCACAACGTGACACCGACATCCCTCTAACCGTCTGCATGGCCGTCATGTTGTTGGTCACGAATATTAAAGTCTGTGACATGTATTCTATTGGGGAACAACACAGTCTCTTCTCCAGGAGATACTTTACGAGTACATGGTTTGTGGCGTTGAAATACGGATCCATTGGAGCCACCGGGCAATTTCCAGCACAGATATTCGCTCGGTATGTTATAGGATGTTGAATAAATTTTCCGTACCATCCCAAATCCCTAAAGTCTACTGTCCACTCCTTCAAACGACAGTAATTTAGCGTTTCAGCTGTTTCCATATTTATTGTAGAATTTCTATTACTAGGCACAAATCGCTTCCGCCGATCTCTGTGCAATAAAGAGACATTTATGTCCAGAAAAATCGCCAAAATCGGATTAAGATGTCTTATCTGGTGAGTTGATTTACTGATGGAGACAAACAGTTCTAATGTTGTATTTACCACCTGATCTATAGCCAGATCTGTGACGTCAGCCACGTGTCCTTGTCCTGTATGAAAGGAATTTACCCCTGAAATATTGGAAATACAAATTATAAAAAAAAGAAAGAAAGAAAGAACATCTGTGAAGTAAGCGTTTATAATAAGCTAGGTTCTTTGAAACAATTTTTTTTATATATATAGTTTTGACCAATTTATCATAAATTGGCATACATATACTTTAATTGATCCTTTAGGGACTAGCCAAAATTTATCACCATGATGGGACCGGTACAAAAAAAATTTCTCATTAAAAAAAATTACATGTCCCATGACTTTCGTATTGAAAAAAAATATTTGTCCCATGCCTTTAGACTTATAAAAAAGTTACTGTCCCATGGTTAAATCTTGATGTGATATTATTGTTACATTAAAAGTTTAAATCAAAAGTTTAAACTTATCTATAACTATCTCTTATCTAATCTTTTGATTTAAACTTTTAATGTTACATTATTGCAAAAAAAAAACCCAAAAAAACCACAAAAAACAAAAAACAAAAAACAAAAAACAAAAACAAAACGAAACAGAACAAAAAAACAAAGAGTACAATGTTAACAATTACTTTTATATATTAACTGAAAGAGTCTTTCAGATTACAGGTATTTCAAACATTGATGAAAGTTTTAGTTTAAAATATATTTTTTTCATTATAAATGAATTGGATCGAACAGCAGACATAAATGTATAATTGTTCCATGAAAGTTGTCTGAATGGATGAAACTTGACAGACCATTCGTGTAAAATACATGATTGATTTTATTTGTTTTAGAGATGTTACTCTAGAATTTGTTAGCAGTATATTTTGAATGATTTATTGAAATAATTTGTTTGTTCATGTTCATAACTCTTATTAACATCGTTTGTTACTTTTTATTTTTGCATGCAGTATTAATTTGAAGATTTATGTTGCACTTTGTATCCTTTGTTTGACTTTAAAAGATATAATGATTTTTTGAAGAATTTATTTTTTAAAAGATAAAATATGTTTAAATATGATAAATAATGAAGTACTATAACTCATTTAAAAAGCGTTTGTCCCATGGCTACTTAATGATAAAAAATGTTTTTGTCCCATGGTTTTCTTCGATGAAAAATTTCATTGTCCCATGTCTGTTTCTTCCGGTCCCATCATTGTGATAAATTTTGCCTGGTCCCTTACATTGTTAGAAAGTTAAAAAGAAATATGCAAACGATCTATTCTTCCGTTTTCACTAAATTGGTGGTGCTCAAAGAATAAGAGAGACTATACGTGAACAATATGTTATGTTTCCAGCAGACAAGGCTTGTAATAATATCGTCTTTGTAAGGCTCATTATTATAACTGTATTTTAGAAGAACTTGGTTTCAATTCCAAATTTGATAATCCTACTTATACTAGCTGTTCACTTTCTGAGGATGAGCTTCTTCAAAATCACATTTTAGTCTTTAATATTTTTAACATTCCAGTCACAAGGTGTGTTTGATCTACATTCCTAAACTTCATAAAAATCCTTAAAAACAAATATACATTGAATTACAATTCAGCTGGTTATGTAAAAGTTTAAAATTAAATTCTGCTATCTACTTATCAAAAACATTTGATATCATAGCTGTGTACACATTTTTCCATTTGACCATTTGTCATATTAAATTATTTTGACCATTTCGGTTCCAGTATTGGCTTTTGCATCTTTTTAGAAACCAGAGTATTATAATAAAATCACGATTCTTCGAATTCTGGAGTTTTATTTTTTCCGTAAAAGTAAAAGTGTGACTTTTGAATATTTGTTTTATTTACATTGTTGAAATCTATATTTAGATTTTTAAATGCCTAATTTTATATTATTGGATATTCGCATTATTAAGTAATTAATCTTTGATTCAATGATCTCTTTGACATCATTTATATCTTTCATACCTTCTCTTGTAAACAGAACTTTTACATATAAAATACCACTCTTGCCCAACTTTTTTTGGTAAAGTGGCTTATTGTTTTGTTTAAGAGGACTTTTTAACCATAAGTTTACTATATATCCTGGTGAGCTTGACATAAAAGATACCACAGAGTCTGGCACATCTGTTTCATATTTGGATATTTTACTTGAAAAAGACGTTAATGGTAATCTAACAACCAAGCTTTATGATAAACGTGATGACTTAACTTTTCAATCGTCAACTTCCCTTACTTACGCAGCAATATACCCTCAGTACTTGCATACGGGGTTTATATCTCTCTGTTGATTCAAGAGCATGCTCTACGTACGTACAATTTCTAAAACGAGGTAAATTATTGACAAACAAGTTGATGAAACAAGAATATCAACAGTCTCATTTAAAGTCATCATTTCGTAAGTTCTATGGTCGATACAATGACCTTTTCAGCAAATACAATTTATCATTGAGTCAAATGCTGACTGACGTTTTTCATACTAATTGTTAGACCATTATTTACACACTGAATTGTCGACGGATTTTTCCGTTATTTCCCGATCATGACAAGGAGCACACGGCGGGTGTGACCGGTCGGCAGGAGATGCTCACTCCTCCATGGCACCTGATCCCATCTCTGATGTTTTGGAGGTCCGTGTTTGTTCCGCTCCTATTTTGTATTTTTAATGGACTTTTGAGCTTGAATACTGTTTGTTATCCCCATATATTTCATTCGTGGTGGTGTTAGAAATTTACTTTTATTAAAACGACAAAAACATCTTAGTTAATTTTTGGAAACTTATTTAAAATATGGAATTAATTCGGATTCATATAATACTCCTGCCCAGGAGATACTCAAAGTGTATCCCAAAAATTTTACTTCGCGTGGATTTTTTTATTGTAAAGTCTTCTGATCCATCCTGCTCTTACGCTTTTAAGCTTGCATTCGATGTAGATAAGATCAAGACTTCCCTCGTTCATTGACTACATTTAATCCCCCTCACTCTCGCTCTCTCTCTCTCTCTCTCTCTCTCTCTCTCTCTCTCTCTCTCTCTCTCTGTGTATGTCAAATACTCTCCCATAATACAATCTTAGAAAATCCAAAAGAGGCAATTGCAAACACATGGAGATTAAATAAAACAGTTTGAATCTTAAATAAAGATTGATTTTTGCAGATAATCTGCTTAGAATTATAACCAATGCAACGGAAAATAACGGAAAGCAGCAGTATATACAAAGAAACTGGTGGGGAAGTGGTAACGTCGAAGTGTCTATGTAAACTCAGCATCAGAATTTTGACAGAATTTGTTAATGGTAGGGTTGCAAAAATGTTCTAACAAGACAGCACCATAACAAGTTTGATTATTAAGGAACAAGATAACAGGAGGCAATAATAAAGATAGGCCTCTGTCATCTACAGTGAGGTTCAGGTCACATATCTCAAATATTTTGATATGATAATTCAACATTGCTTAATAATTATCTACTGTATGAAATACCAATCTATAAGAACTTACTGATCCCTGGACGATATGGCGATGTAATTTGGATAGAGAACAGCCGATGAGTGTGTCCCGTGAAGGCGAGCTCTATTTTGGTCACGTTTCCGTCAATTGGTGCTCTCGATAAATCAAATTCAATGAGACCATCAGAGGTTTCTGTATAAAAAGATGATAAAACTTGAAACAGTGACACGTTTTATGGTAATCCTGTATCGTACAATTTTTTTTTCAATTATTTCTGAAAAATATGAATATATTAAAAGTGAACTTCTGGTCGGAAATGCTGGAATTGCTGAAAGAGAGTACGCAGTTTATTTTTTCTACAGAAAAAGTACAGTAAGTACACTGTATGGACGAATTTTTCAGATGTCCAAAATTTTTCTTTGTGGATGTTGAAATGTCCTACATACAACATTTTGTTCAACAAGTTCTGACACTATGCCAGATAAGTGCAAAATTTACACGCGCTCTTTTCTTTCCAGCGAGTAAGTAAAGTCTACATGCAAATAAAAATAAAATCGGCTCAGAGACATGAGCAATGATTATTTGTTATATAATAAGATTTCAAATGCTGGCCATGAAAAATTAAAAAATATATAATCTTGAATTATGACTGATAACCTTTTTGATTTTTTTTTTCTGTATAGTCCCTTCTTTTGATACAATTACCATGTACATATCATTGTTAATTCTTTAAGTATTGATATTTATTGATATGAGTTATCACTCCTCTTATGCAGAAAACACTTTACTTGTTTGTGAAGACAGAAAATACGTTATATTTACGTATGTTGGCAACTAGCTGAAGAAAAACGCATTAGTTTGTATAATTGTTTAATTTAATTGATTTTAGACATGTGAATAAAATTTTTCTCTAAATTAAACTTTTTTGCGATGAAAATTGATTTAAAAAGAAACTGCCACTTTTGTATATTTCGTGGTTTTTTGTTTTTTTTTTGTTTTTTTTTTTTGTTTTTTTTTTTTTATAAAGAATCTCCAATATGCAAAAATACATGTATGCCACTTAATATTTGAAAAGTTTTCACAACGTCATGCAATCTTTGTATAGTTCACCGTGGTCATCACTGAAATAGTAGAATTTCCATATTTGAAGTATGACAGCGTCTTTTTTCAGTGAATCGATCACTGTTCATCATTTAGTATGCGTAATAAGAGTAACCAAAAAAAATTGAATGCGTTTAATCAGAAAAAAAAAATTAAAATTCACTATATCATTTACATTACTAATAAACGTTCAGAAAATGAAACTCTTAAGGTACACCACTGATTTAACATTCAGTGAAAGTGAGTTTGGAAATCACAAATGAAGTGCACATTAACGACTTTTAGATATAATCTGCATATTTTTTATCACTTTGGAACTAACATTATTGTATGATATAATAAATCTCCATCTTATCTACATATATATAAAATCAATATATAAATCTCGATCTTATCTACATATATATAAAATCAATTTTCTCCCTTGTTTAAGCATTGAAAAATTATTTTTTTAAAAAGATATTGTCTCATAACTGCAAACAAATTGAGTAATGCGCGTTATGAAAATTTGTTTGCATACACCGTTGCAGTTTCAAAAAATATTGAATCAATACTTATATTTACATTTTTTAACTCCTTGTATTGACTGCAAATCTGATTTTTATTTCAAAATCCCTGTATCATCCTTTGGGTAAGTTATAATTATTAATGAAAGAGCCTTTGCAACAGCTTCTTTTCAATGTGAGCGTGAATTTTGATTTTCGCTTATGACGTTGCACTTCCATGGCGTTCAACGTTTGTGACGTCAAAATAAAACGCATACTTTAATCTTTTAACCCTCTGTCCGTGTTATGGTGTTTTGAATAGCTTTTCTCACACTTTATTTAAGAAATAAGTTTTCATTTTTAAACATCTATCGGGATATAAATACGTGTTGGTCACGAGATCAAATTCCATAAAGCCCGAAGGGCATTATGGTAAATTTGATCGCGTACCAACCCGTATTTATAGCCCGATAGATGTTTTAAAATGATACCTTATTACTTATATTTACATTTGTGACATTCATATTTTATATTTGCCTGATTATAATCTTTAACGCGTGAAACGTTTTATTTTTCAAACCCAACGGCACGTGTTTGATCCCAAATTGCGCGTCGACCCTTTATGACGTCACTGAGAAATTACGTCGAACGTTTATGACGCGAGGAACCCGTGTTATACGGATATATTTACATTTCCAAATATGTTTCCTTAAGATTCTTTGCAAATTAGAGTGTTGTTCATTTTCTCATGAACTACAATGGATGAGCATGAATATCTCCATTGTTACGTCATAATACCGTACTTGACGTCAAAACTATAGTGCAAACTGTTTTGCTTTAAAAATGACAGTTGAATTGTGGCACCTAATCAGAAAAATAATGTAAATATAAGAAATGAATTTAATTTTTGAAAATTCATGAGGTACATGAACTACAACGCTTCACGCCGGCATATTTATCATGAAGCGCTAACGCGCTTCATGAAATATGCCGGCATGAAGCGTCGTAGTTCATGTCCTCATGAATCTTCAAAAATTAAATTCATTTCTTTAATAGATACGCGTTGCTTTTAATAGTGTTATATAAAAGAAAACATTTCCAAATGTAAATATAACAAAATACATGCTGAATGTAAATATTAAGTTTTATGATATTTTTTCCGACTTACTTTGATTGTATATTGTTTCCCTTTATGTCAACAGAATTTCAATACGTTGATATTCGCAATAGTTATTTGTTTAACTTACATAATTTTAAAAAAAATAATACTTTTATGCAGAAGCAGTCCAGTGACTACAAAATAAAGATGATTGAATTTATTTTAAAGAATAAACTTCTTATTTCGAAAATTTTCTTTTCTTCTTGTTAGTTTGATTTTATGTTAATGATTGTTCTATTTTTCATGTAGGTTTCATGTTCTTAATTTTGTATTTACTCCCACCCGGTAAATTCAAAATTTAGAACATGACACAGGGAAAGGGGGAGAGGAATTGTTTGCATTAAACAAAAATATATGCCCAGAATTATTTGTGCATTCTTAATGAAAAATTAAACGATGAAATTCAATTAGCTTTATCAGGATATGAAAAATTAATTGCTTGTCATATATAAGATTCGTATGTATATTCATTACTTTCTGTTAATTGTTTAAAATATTTATTTTTTTAACGAATTATTGAATGTTACTTTCTGCTAATTGTTAAAACATATAGTTAATTTAAACGAGGTATTGAATGATTTATCTTAACATTTATTTTTATAGGACTTTTATTTTTCAATGTTTGAAGTACATGTACTACTTTAAAACATTTAAAATGTATATAGGAAAATAAAGTTTAAATCGCAAAATCTATATAAGTTCTAAAAAGAAAGGGCAATATTAGAAAATGCTTTAAAGCGCAAAACAAGCAAACAATATTTGAAAATGATGTAATATAACTTACGAGACTCCGGATCATAGAACTGCACCTTTGGATCACGGTCTGAATACATACGCAGATCATCTTGTTTTTCTTCCATCTGTAGAAAAAGCTGTAGCACATACGATGAGATGGGCCGAGTTATGGGTCTGTGCCCTCCGGGGTCAATGCCCAGATTCTGAAGGAATTCAGAAGTCAAGTGAGGGGGGACAAACGCCCCCATTCCAAGATCAGTGGTGAACACAACCACGTACAACCAAATGCCAAGTGTTCTCATAATTTTGTAAGTGTTCCAGAGCATGTCAAAGCTTTATATACCAGGACCTATATATGTCGGTACCATGTCATCGTGGTTTTGCTATAGGAATTCATATTTAAATGTTTATCATGCACCAGTTTGATTTTTCTTTCCAAGAAATTATCAAATACATGTAAAAATAGATGCCATTTTAATAGTGATTAATATTTAGCACAATTTAGTTTTTCGTAACTGTAGAAAATATTATATAGCATTACGAGATGTTTGATAACATTGAATTATTTTTGGAATGTTCTTATATACGCTTCAATGTATTTTTGAGCTTCTTAATATAGCTTGATTTTAATTGTTAATAGTCATGTAACATTTTGCAGCTTATGACAAAATCCAGTCAAATGCCAGTTAGATCTGGAAATATTCATTATTATGAATAATACTTGATTGTGAATCTTTATTTTTATTATTAGAATGTTTATTATCATGTATAAGTATTATTTATTGTCTTTGTCTTCACCTGTTATACAAGGAGAGGTTGTGCATAGGCTTTGCCTGTTTCCCAATCCTTGTTAAATTATTCAATAAAATATGTTTAAAGTAAACATTTATTCTATTTAACTATAAATTCATTCATGAAATTAAAACTAGTAGGGAAAACCAACCAATACAGGTGCCTGTCCGAATGGCTCTTTTATTTCCAAACAGTATCTTAAGTTCATAGGATACTCCAGATCCGGAGAAGCTTGGCTATGAATTGGTGAAATGGTAAAGTTGGAGTAAATTCATATTTACTGGGGATTTTTTCTTGTTTTTACTATAGATATAAATGTATAATAAAACAATAAGTCTGGTACAATAGGAAACTTCCGTGATAAATATGTGTTGTAGCAATAATAATATAAAAACTATTCTACAATTATCGATAACATTTTTTCAGATATCCAATATTTTTAATCTCATGCATGCAAGCATTGTTAAATTATGTTATACATTTAAAATATACGTCCACATTAAAAAATACAACATTAAGTAACACATTATAAGCAATGAAAAACAAGCAAATTGGAATCAGTTACAAGTACAATCAAGTGCAATCATTGTTTTGAAAGATGTAATATTGTTTGAGACAAAGCATATATATATACATATATTCAATTTTTTTCAGAGATTAATAAAACTTTGTTGTTTCGATAAAAACTAGAAACTTACACTCATTAATTTAAGCACAAGCCAAAAAGGACTCAACACACGAACATGATTCCCATCCATTCGTAATATTCGTATATAAAAAAAAAAATAATTATGTGTGGATATCTAACAAATATAGACATGTCTTCATTGTAAAATTGTTTTATTTTGTTTGAATTTAAAAAAATATTAGCCAATCACAATTAGTTCATTGACATTCAAAGTTTATTTCAGATTCCCTATAAATCAACAAACAACAGAGATGTTATTTTGCTTGTTTAATTATCAGGAATGATAGCTTGTGACTAAGGGTGAATATTCATATATCCGAATGAACGTAAATTATCCGGAATAGATATAAATAAAACTAGGGATACTGAAATAAACTCACTTATTCGAGACGAGGCTCGTATAAGGTCAGACGACACGTTCCTCAAGAATATATAATTTTTCCCAAGAATTTGTCATCAAAGTATTACTACTTTAACAAGCTTCCTCACAAAAAAATGAGGTACCTTACCAGGCATTTGTGCAAGATACCAGAGGGTGGTGTTTCCTATATAATCCTTTTGATAATCTTTTGAATTGCCAATATCACAATTTTGGGTGTACTTAACTTTTAAAGACATCTTGAAAACAATTTAGAAATACAAGAACTGACAATGAATATTCTTTTTTTTATATATTACGAAGAAAAACAAAACAAAACAGATATTTGAGGAACGTGTCATCAGACCATAAGTGGTGATGTTTTTAAGGTTGTATAAATGTATCTATATATTTTGATTTTGATTTCTTTTTTCATTGAAAACCAGAATTGATAACTTGTGCAAGTGGATTCAAACATTCCATCCTGCACACATACAAAGATATACGCATTTTCAAACATGTATTGAAGAGATATAAACACTGAGTAATCTGTGATAAAATTGTCATGCAAAATAACGGCGATTTTAAACACCCTAAAGTATGCTCACACACTTAAAAAGTGTCATCTCAAACCGTTGCTTTTGTTGTTTTTCATAGGAATCGCAGTCATGAATTACTGGCGACAAAAAGAGAGGAAACCGAGTAAAAATAATATGTTTGCAATCTCAGAAATGATGACTTTATCTCTATTGTATATTATTATAAGCATTATGGTGTTCGAATAATGTATACATTTGAGTACGGCACAACCTTGGAGCTCCATTCTGTACTTCTCTTGCTTATATAATAAACCTTGGCATTTAGCTTGACACCATTTTTTATCACGTGAATTTATGGGAATTCCATTCATCACATATGATCAACGTTTTTGCTCTAGCAGTAAAGGAAACGAATGTAAATGAAAATTATGAAAGGTCAGTTAAACTATAACAGGTGATTATACCGGAGTAAACCCTGCAAGTAGTGGCAATGCAGGCAACTATGGCTTCTTTGTGTACAATGATTAATAAAAATTTTATTTCATTTCAGTGATAACAGATAAATGACAGAAAGCCACAAACATTCAACTAAAGACGATTATATCAGTGACAGAAATTCATTAATGAAGATTTTGACTTTATGCAGCTGCTATTGTTCATTATTTAATAAGTTTTTAGGAGTAATTTTTTAAATATCTGTTTAATTATTTTAAATGAATAATTTCAATTTATTTATTACTTTATCAAGAGAGAGTGAAGTTCCTGATGAAAATACCGACTTAGGAAGCTTTCAAGTATTGTGTATTTTAGGAAAGTACTAGTTAGAATCTGTTTTTTAGTTGGTCAAAAGACAAATATAACGTGTTAATTAATGACTTGAATATATCCATATGTATAAACAGAAGTATAACTGAGAAGCTGTAAGTAAAAATAACGTGAAATTCAAACATGCAATGAAAGTTTTAGAGTTGTGTTCAAATTGCGTAATTATTCAGTCGTCGCATATAAATAAATTCTTCGTGTAACGCTTCATTCATAAATTTCATTCACTGTATTCTCTTCCATTGTTCTTTACTTTGTCAAGAAAATATGCATTACTCTTTTTTTTTTTAATTGTCCCATTACATGTCAAAGTAAACCTTAGTGCCAGCGTTGATCCCTGGGTTCACTTAGTTACATAATTATAGTACAAATACACAATTCACCATAAGAGGACTTTTTATTCTTTCAACATTCACTCATTATTCGCTAAATAACATCCATATAATTACAATTATAATAATGTTTAACTAAATAAATGAAATCTTAATATAGTCATTGAAAAAAAAAAGATGTACATCAGTAACTGTAATTCTATTTTCTAGTATTTTACATAGAAATGTACATGTATTTATCATATTAAAACATCAAATTCCATGAAATGAAAAAAAATGTGCATTATATATATATATATATATATATATATATATATATATATATATATATATATATAGATATAGATATAGATATATATATATATTCTTATATTCTTTATGAAACCCATTGGAAATCTAGATCTTCAACATTCAATACCCTACAACACACACGAAACCTTTTCATTGCACGTTTGAATACACAGTAGGAACTGAACTACATGTTTATGCATTTTTTTAATGATCTAGGAACAAAAAATTGTATATCGTTTTAGCTCAATTTAATTAAAAACAATAAATTATTGTAAAAATATTACAATTGAACGTTTAAAATAAATTTGTCATTTTTTCCCCTCGCAATATTTGACATTCATGTCACAAGGGCTCTCATACATCTCGTTTTAAGCACACCAATTCTGAGAGGTGCTAAATTCATATAAAGATTAACAAAATTAACACCATTATGAAGGGTTGCTACGGACCTGCTGTGAAATACTGCAGTTGCTCACTTCATTGCCTTGAATTATCAATTACTTTGAAGAAAAGGTCCTACAGATTTTAAGTTTATGAACCTGAGAAGCAAACGTTTGATGTTTAGCAAGGTTAGTATTTCAAAACCTTGCAGAAAACACCAATGGGTCTTGTTCTGCGTACACACACACACACATATATATATATATACAGCAGTTAATAATAACAATCTAAACTCCCCCGGGACTTCAATACATAAATACTCTTTATAACAAAAACTGCACCTATTAAATCCAACTTTAAATTGAAGTTAGAATTACCAACTTTAAAAGGAAAAAAATAGATTGATTGATAGATTGTACATGTTGTTTACGTCCCATTAGAGAATTTTTCACTTAAGTCTTCTTGAAAAGGTCAAGGAAAGTCCATTTTTTGATTTCTCGACACCAGAATATAGGCTTGGATCTATGATTATGGATATTGCAAATCACTGGCTTTTTAAACCCCTACGTTTTACTGAAAAAAAAATGCAGTCAGAACAGTTCGTTTTTTTCTTAAACTTCAATATGCAAACAAAGGAATTGACGCGGTTAATATATGTAATATTCTGAATCACAAAAGGGTCCAGTCTTGTATTCCATCATATTTCAAGTTAAAGACTACACTTTGTATTTCCTACAAATATACATCGACTATTGCTTCAAAACTTTTTAATTACAAGAAAACTTTACAGGGCCTGGATATCGAATATCTGAAGCATAATCCTCCATCGTGTTCATGTTCTTCTTCACCCTATAACTATAGTCCTGCTGGACACGTTATTACTGGTGACGTAAATATAGTTAACAATGAGGACCTTAGATCACTAATTTTAAAAGGTCCTAAATATAGGGAACCCCGATCCTTCAACTGGCGTCGAAATTTCTTAAATATTATGGATTCTGTAGAGGATTACGCCAGGCGATGGGCCAGACATGAAAAAGAAGACCTTGACACTTTGTCAGAATGGATTAAATGTATTAGATGTATGTTAAAATCACACATTAAAAGACTGAGGGGCAATATGAGAACCATCTATCCTTCTGTATTCAATAATCCAGAAGTTAAAAAAGAATTAGA